TCCGAGGGTGCTAAGGTAGGCTTCGATCCGAGGGTGCTAAGGTAGGCTTCGATCCGTGGGTGCTAAGGTAGGCTTCGATCCGAGGGTGCTAAGGTAGGCTTCGATCCGAGGGTGCTAAGGTAGGCTTCGATCCGAGGGTGCTAAGGTAGGCTTCGATCCGAGGGTGCTAAGGTAGGCTTCGATCCGAGGGTGCTAAGGTAGGCTTCGATCCGTGGGTGCTAAGGTAGGCTTCGATCCGAGGGTGCTAAGGTAGGCTTCGATCCGAGGGTGCTAAGGTAGGCTTCGATCAGAGGGTGCTAAGGTAGGCTTCGATCCGAGGGTGCTAAGGTAGGCTTCGATCCGAGGGTGCGAAGTTGGCTAAAGTAATAACTGCCTCCGAGGTTTTCCCAGTGGACTAAGCAGAGTAAGACTGGCACTGCAGTAGAGTGTCATTGGGGGGAGGGGGGGGGGGGTTAATTCCGATCTCAGTGGGATGACTAAGAGTCCCGCCAATGGGAAGAAGGATTGTTCGCTGTCTTTCGGAAAGGTAGATCCTAAGCTGGTGACGTCGCAATCAATCCTGTTAGGAGTTAGTCACGAAAGAGGCATTGTATTACACAGATAGGAAGTTCTACTGTTAGAAAATAATGATCTTAATTTTAAATTTAAATGGTTGTAGGTTGTTGTTGTTGGTTTTTTTTCCTTTCCCACTCGAAAGACACAATACGGTTAATTTGGGGAGGATCGGGGAAGAAGGGACATGTGGGAGAAATGTACCACCCCCCTATAAAAGCGAATCTATTGGACCAAAATGTTTTTGAACAAAATGACCATAAGACCACACGCAGAAGACATTGACTGGGTGCCTATTAAAGACAAGTAGTGCACAGAATGATGATTCGGTCCACGCTCGTCATTTTTGTCCGTTATCCGACCCGCTGTGGAAAAAGTTTGGTGACCCCTGGTTTAGAGGATATTTCAACCATAAGAACAATAAATTAAAAAACGTTAAATTTGTTTAAGGCATTTACTGTGATGTTAATGTTATGGCTGGGTATACAGAAGTGTAACTGGGAGGGGGCTGTGGGGGCAGCAGACCGCAGCGGATGGCACCCTTAAAGGGGAATGGCACCAAAATGAAATATTGCAAATTTAACAGGATGGCACTAGAGCCGGGTGCCACTTGAGCCGGGTGCGACCTGAGCCGGGTGCCATCTGAGCCGGGTGCCACTTGAGCCGGGTGCCATCTGAGCCGGGTGCCACTTGAGCCGGGTGCCACCTGAGCCGGGTGCCATCTGAGCCGGGTGCCAGTTGAGCCGGGTGCCATCTGAGCCGGGTGCCACTTGAGCCGGGTGCCATGTGAGCCGGGTGCCACCTGAGCCGGGTGCCACCTGAGCCGGGTGCCATCTGAGCCGGGTGCCACCTGAGCCTGGTGCCACTTGAGGCGGGTGCCACTTGAGCCGGGTGCCATCTGAGCCGGGTGCCACTTGAGCCGGGTGCCATCTGAGCGGGGTGCCAACCGAGGAGGTCCCATCAGAGCCAGGTGCACCAGAGCAGGGTGCATCAAGAGTAAGCTGCCACCAGAACAGGGTGCCACCGAGCAGAGTGCCACCAGAACAGGATGCCACCCTAAAAGGGTGCCACCATGTTCCCTCTAATTATCTAAATGCTATGTGTGCATATTTTTGGTGTAGTGCAAAGTTTGACCCCCAAAAAAATAATTAATGATGCGCCCTGTGCACATGAGCATGACCGTTAGACAAGAGTACAAGAGACACGCAGGATAAACTCTTTAACTGTTTTCTCTCATTTAGGTAGAAACAAGTTCTTTTCCCCCTTTTTTTTTTCCTTTCCTTTTTTAAATTCAAGGGAGTAACTTGATTAATCCAAACTTACATGTTATCCTAGTTACAGCCCCTGAAATTTCCGATTTCGTTTTAGGGGCCCCCTGACGATTTAAACAAATATTAATGTGGTCTTTAAAGAATGTGTAAACGCGTCATGTCTAGGAGAGGTGGGCACCTTGGACATTGCCACACAATACTAATTAATGAATTAAGAGAAGAAATTAATGATGCATACTAGCTGGCCTGAAACTTTTTCTAGAATTACCAAGGAGCGGATTTTGAACGAATGTCGTGCTTGATTTAATACATTTACAGTGCAAGGAAATTGGAAGCTGGGAAAGAGACAACGAAAAGTAGGGCCTACTATGATGTTTGCAAGGCACGCATTGTTTGTTTATGGCCTACTATGATGTTTGCAAGGCACACTTTGTTTGCTTATGGCCTACTATGATGTTTGCAAGGCACACATTGTTTGCTTATGGCCTACTATGATGTTTGCACGGTGCACACATTGTTTGCTTATGGCCTACTATGATGTTTGCAAGGTGCACACATTGTTTGCTTACGGCCTACTATGATGTTTGCAAGGTGCACACATTGTTTGCTTATGGTCTACTATGATGTTTGCAAGGTGCACACATTGTTTGCTTATGGCCTACTATAATGTTTGCAAGGTGCACACATTGTTTGCTTATGGCCTACTATGATGTTTGCAAGGTGCACACATTGTTTGCTTCTGTTCCTTGAAATCGGAATCATTTTTTTTTTAAACTGAGGAGCTTCTGTTGTTAAACTTTATCTCGAAATCGATCGTTGAGATAATTTGAATTCTAAGGGCTAAATATTTTTTTTTAATTAGGTGGGGGGGGGGTGGAGATTGTGGGGTGGAAACTGTGATGGTTTGTTTTTTTGTTACATCAGAGGTGCTTTAACTGCAACAATAATTAAAATTCCCTTTGATGGTGAGATCGCGTATGAATTTGAATAAAATATCCTATCCAGAGGAGTTAGTTACCATGAAGTCAAGAACTAGTCTCAAAGAACGTTTCCCTATTGTGGAGGGCCATCTGGATACTTTTTTCCTTGTATATAATTGGATGTAAGTCTTTGAGCGTGTGCTTTTAATTAGCGTTACATACTGATGAAAGTGTAAAAGTTCAGATTTGGCATGATAAATGTTGCTGTTTGTTCATCGTCATCAAAATCTTCTCTAATTTTGATTTAAATTTCTTTAAATGAACTGTGCAAACTTGATCCAGTACTCGTAAATAGTTGGGTTTTTTTTTTTCATTTTTTGCAAATTTATAAAAATGAAGTAACACGCGGTGCCAAAGATGGCGCAACCCTGAAGGCTTCACAAACCATTTTGAAGGCAATAATATAACTTCTTACTTCTTCGCGGGCGCATGTCAATAATGCTATTAAAATTATAAAAATACAATACGACAAAATAATTATGAAACTAAGCAAGATTTTATTATGCGTATAAACGTTCTTCATGCATTTCATAAACTTCTGCAATTATATCAGTGGCTTCGCTAAGGGTTAGGTGGGTGCAGAGCGCACCGGATGACACCCTCACAAATGTCTCTTGAGTCGGTTTTATTGCAGAAGTCCGTTAACTACAAGAAAAAGGTTCACTAGAGCAGGGTGTTACCAGAGCAGGGTGCCGCCAGATTAGGCAGACTCGGAGGAGGTTCATGCGGAAGTCTGGAGGGGATGAAGAAAATGGCGGGGGGGGGGGGCAATCAAGAGACGGATTACTCTACTTGCAATTACAAAAAAGAAGAAGAAGGCGATGCATTTGTGTTGAGATCGTTTTCGTCCTGACCTATGGATCAGGTCAAGGACCACCAATGAGGTAACAGATGTGTTTGAGTCTGTTCAAACTAAGATTCTACGTTGACAACGCAAGAACTGTTACTGGGGTCATCTCCTTAATTCGCCGCTTTCTGTGATGAGTTATCTGACAATGAACTTTGAATTGAAATAGTGAGGCTGCGCAAGTACCTGAAAGCATCAGATGTGAAACACCCACGAAGCCAAAGATTGTTCCTTATTGGAAGTAGTTTGACCTTCATAGCTGAATGGGGCTCCCTAGAATATCTCTCAATCCTCTCAGAATCATTAGGCGTACAATTAAAAAAAAAATCACAATCTGTTTATCTGTTGCTTCATTTGAGAGGAGCTTTTCAAAACTGAAACGTATAAAGTACTATTTGCGATCTACCATGGAGCAGACCAGGCTTTCTGGTTTTTGCTATTTTTTGTCAGTTGAATGTAATAAGGTGAATAAGGTTGATTTTGATGAGCTTGTTGACAGGTTATCTTTGAAGATCCTCAAAATAACCCTTTATAAATGTGTTCTGTGAAAGTTCAAGCGGCCCGGGAAAAAAACAACAAAAAGCGGCCCTATGCTATTAGTTATTAATTATTATTATATCACTGGTCCTGGCGGCCCATCGGGAATCTTCCCGGTGTCCCGCCGGCCCAGTCCACCCCTGGTTCTGTGTAATGGATGTAGGCATGTATTAATGCTTATTGGTCAATTTTGTGTTTATATTGGAGTTAATTGGCCTAGCAAGAGTTTGTGAGATTTTTTAAAGAAAAAATTATTCGCTTTTTTTTTTTTTTGTTATTGCTTGTCTGGACTATGTGGGGAGTTTAACTCCAATCCACCAGGTATGGCCACTCAGTCCCAGCCAAAGACACAATGTGTGAACTTGTAGAATAAAATTGGAAAAGATATATTATAAATATATTAGTTATTTTTATTAATTTTAAAATAGTTAACGTTAAAATCCTTTGAAATTTACAGTTATTTGTGAACTTTGGTGAACTTTGTCTAAACATTTCCTGATTCTACACCTAATTGTTCTATCATACGGTACCCTTATAAGGTATTTTTTAAATATATATATATATATATTATATATATATATATATATATATATATATATATATATATATATATATATACAATCGGGTCTTCAAAGCCGACATTGTAGTGGCTATTACTGTGCATATTTAAAAAAAAAAGAATATTAGTGATACATTTGATTTAGAATTATTTATTTTTTTACCTTTCAATTTTTTTATTGCGCTTTAGATTAAGAGACTTTAAAATATGCTTCTCAGGTTTGTTTTTAGTTTTCGGTAAATAGCGAAAACTTTTAGCGTTTTCTTATGTTTGCATTTGCAAACTAAAGAAATGGAGTTAGTTTATTCTATAGATTTTAAATCCTTTTCAAAGCAAACCGATTTCAGTTGCGATGAGAAGATATGTTGCAGTTTATCTTGCAGAAATATTGTAGCTTTTAGTAGAGCAAGAAAGGCAGACAACGATGGGTATGATTTTGATTTGATTTTGTTGTTAAACAATAAATGTGAATCGATACGACCACATATTATTGAATTGTGATATATTCATATTGGTCCTAGTATCACATTAGTTACCGGTATTACATATAATTTATACTTATAATTAATTAAAAATAATTAAAATACATATCGCCTTCTGATATCATATAATTATGATATACTGATACTGGTCGTCGATAGAGAAATGACTCGCTTTTTTAAAATTAATATTACATATAATTTATACTTATAATTAATTAAAAATAATTAAAATACATATCGCCTTCTGATATCATATAATTATAATATACTGATACTGGTCGTCGATAGAGAAATGACCCGCTTTTTTAAAATTAATATTATTTATATTACGCCATTAGACTCAAGGCTATTTAGCCTATTACTATTAGGATGTCATTTGTGGTAGTTAATTTTAGTTAAACTGAAGAATTAAGTTTACAAACATATAGTCCATTCAATTATCTTTCATTTGATTCCTCATTTTGTATTTTGTCTTACAAACTCAACAATAATAATAATAATATTTTAAATTATAGTTTTTTTAATCCCAACCTCTCACTTCTGGTACCCGGGTACGAATAGCCACTTCGTTATTTATTTCTTAGACCTGTAACTATTATCACTATTATTATTGGTAGCAGTGGCGGATCGAGGGTTTGAATCAGCCCAGGAGATTCTGATAAATTTATAGGCCCAGGGCTAAATACAGTTAGCAGCAGGTCCGGCGATGTATTCCATGGTATATATTATATAGGTCATGTAGGTTCCCCAGATCAACTACGGGCCATAGTTCTATTTTTCAAATTCAAAAGATTTCAAATTTTTGTTCTTCATTTATTTGATTATTTTTATTTATTTTTTTGTCTTGAAAGAGCGGGGAGGCATTCTGGGGAGTGGTCTCTCCTCCCCAGAAATTATTTGGTTTCTTATTTTTGATGAATAAGTAATGCTGAAATGTCCCGTTAAATTTCAATATTATAGAAATGGGTACTTCTGTTTTTCAACCAAGACAGCACTTTTAACCATGCACAGTCTTTTTCCTGGTGTTTATCTATGGCATCTAGGGCTATAAACAAGGATGAGTTACTTTTTTTATTTCTTTTGAACCTTGTAAGTTGAATTTCAATAAAAACAAATGGAAAATGTCATTTTAATTTATGTTACTTTTCGTTGTTTAGAAAGCAAAAAAAAATGAACGCATGATAATATCATAAACAAGAAAGATATGCACTCTCACTCATGACTCATGAATATTAATGCAGTATAGGCCTATCTCTACTCACTAGTACTAGACACTACTTATTTGTCTCTCCTTAACTATAGGATTAGGACCCCATTTATTGTGAAAAAATCAGAGGCCTTTACTACATCATAGGCCATACTTCACATAGGCCTATTTTTGTAAGACATGGCAGAGCTTTATTTATCCTTAGGCCTATGATTGGTCCATCTACAAATTTTAATGATAATGACCATTATCAATAGGCCCCCTAAGTATGACTTTTATGTGAAAAATGTGACTTGTCATGCAAATGAAATAGGTTAAATTGTAGCCTACACGATTGGACTTTTAGCTACAATAGGCCTATATACAATAATAATATACATTTATTTCATTTTATTTTTTTTATAACTATGTATTGGATGTATGCTTCTTATAGAGATAAGCTTGACATCTGCTACGAAGTTTGTGTGGTTGACTTGGACAAGCCGTGGCAAAAATATGAAGTCACCACTTATCCCTCACCAGTCAAATACATGAGATGGGACCCCGCAGGCATGACTCTTTTGGTTGTGAATGCAGCAGGGAGATTCAGTTTGTGGAAAATGAAGGTACATTTAAAAAATCTATTGAGAAGAATTTAGAATGCTTCTTTTTTTTTTTTTTTTTTTTTTTTAAAAAATCTTTTTTTTTTTTTTTTTTTTTTTTTTTTTTTTTTTAAAGAATCATTTGTATGTATTTTTTTAAAAATATCTCTTCATCTGTAAAAATATTCTCGTCTGTTTTAATGTGTTTATTAATTTCATATGGAACTATTCATCAAACAGTAGGAAAACAGTGTTTTGTTTTTTAAATTTTAACATATATTTTTTTGTTCGGTTGTGTTTAAATAATTTTTAAAATTCTTGTGCTTACTAATATGAAAGTTTACTGTCTTTATGACATTCATTAGAACTGATTCCACTATCCAATAAGGTTATGAGTGTTAGCTCATCCCCAAACTTTCCACCACTACAAAAACAAAAGGGCTTGTACTTGTAGTTTTTTTAGAATTGACAGCTTCATTTGTAGTGTCGTGCGCCCTACCACCCCCAAGATAGGAATGTAGTTTCTACTGTTTTTTTTTTAATCCCTAGTGTAAAGACGCTAATTTTGGTCTGGATGGCCTACTGCTGTTAAAGCAGTGTTCCTTTCATGGGATACTCATCTCAATGAAAGCCAATGTTAAAGCAATGTTCCTTTCATGTGACACTCATATCAGTCTAAGCCTATGGTAAAGCAATGTTCCTTTCATGGGACACTCCTATCAATCTAAGCCTATGGTAAAGCAATGTTCCTTTCATGGTACACTCATATCCCGTCAATCAAAGCTACACATTGTAAAGAAACTCAATATTGCCGAATCATCAAATACTCGCTTCACATGATTTAAGTACCGGTACTGTAAAACAGTCTCTTTTTTTTTTAATGATAAAGGTCAAAATTATTTTTTTGATTGATTGATTGGATATTTATATAACGCTGGCATCCATGCTACTTTATCATGCTCACTGTGCTCTGATTTTCTTAAATCTATTTAAACAAAAAAGTTTTTATATGTTTCTTAAATGATTTTTTATCATTTTCAATTCCCCTCAAAGATTGAGGCAAACTGTTCCATAATTTTGGTGCTATCACTTCAAAAGAGCGCATTGTGTAAGACTTTTTTCTGTGTTCATCCGCACTGGGAATTTTCAGTAAGGACTGTGTTGAAGACCGCAGGTTCTTTGAATAGATGTTAATAAATCAGCTCTTTAAGATGTTCCTGTGCAGGGCCTTCTATGCAGCCGTACGCCAGGGACAAAATTTTGTAGTTATGGTAATGTGTTCACTCACAGGAACTCAATAGAGATCTCGTAGAACTGGGTTAATGTGGTCAGATTTCTTTATCAAATTACTGCACATTTAAATCAGATATGAAAATAACCCACTAAAAAAAGGTACTTATTGCTATACCAGAGCTCCTTGATCAATTCCTGGGAAGAATCAGGATTTGTTGATATGGACAAGGAGGAGATTTTAGTGCTAGCCTGGCTGCACAATGGAGCTCAGGTGAGTCATATATATATATTGTATAGTAACTTTCAGTAAATGAAACACTGCATAGAAACATTCAATGATTCAAATACTATTTGAAAATATTTAGATGATAATTAATTAATATATCTGCATTAAATTTTGAACAGAGAAAGGCTAACTAGGCAAAACATCATTTCATGAATAGCTCAATAATTCTCACAAAACTCTCAATAATTTTTTACACATTTCCATATCTCTTCTGTTAAACAATTTTCAGACATTATTCAACCCAGAGGCCCGAGATCTCATCAACTATTGGGAAAAATTCACTAGAGCCAAAATGACCCCGTCTGTCACACAGTTTGGGAAAAAACCAGTGGATGGTTGGATAGCTATTACATCTACAGGAATGGTAAGTGTGATAGGATAGCTATTACATCTACAGGAATGGTAAGTGTGATAGGATAGCTATTACATCTACAGGATTGTCTGATAGTTCTAAATAAATATTTTCTACAGTGTAAAATAGAAACATTTTTATTTGTTATGTTTTAGGTAATGAAGTTGAATAATCAGATTGCAATCATTTTCAATTCTCCTCAACAGAAATTCATTCCAACATCAAGTTCTTTTTCTTTCAGATACACGTGGGGCTTATACCTGAGAAAGGTTCCACCTTGGTAACAGCAAAAGCCAGTCTAGGTCAGACTAACACTCACATCATCCAAGCAGACGTGGCATTTGTACCAGATGGTCAAATATTAATAGCTACCAGTGATGGTCAGCTGTCATCCTCTGTCCACTGCTACGTGGCAACAGTTAGTTTAAAAAATCATTTCTGCAGTATCAGATGCAGTGCTTCTGCTAGCTTTTTCCTCAAGAAACATCTTGTGGTAAGGGTAGATGAAGTAATATGATTACAAACACAGTGTGATAATCGTAGATGAAGTCATCTTTGTGTGCTCAGGGTTTAAATTCACAACTTAAGCATGTCACCTTTAAGAAATTTAATTTTATGACATGGTGAATTTGACCTGACATGAAGGGTCGGTCATCAATGACCTCTTAACAATCTTTCACTTTTATTACATTTAAATATAACAACAAAATAGTAATTTTTTTAATTTAAAAAGGATTTTTTTTCCTCATCAGATTTGACTTAGATTTTAAAAACTAACAACTACAATATGTTGCTTCCATTAAAAATTCATAAAAATATATACTAAAAAACTGTTGAAATTTGTGATTGACTTTTGATCCATTATTATCACCAATAACAGGATTGCATATATTTCCTGTTCTATTTCTTGTATTCAATTTGAATTAAATTATGACCTGGCTCTTGAGGGAAGACACTCCTTGAAAAAACTACTTTATACTGCAGTGATGATATTTCAGTTCTGATGAGACAAGATCTAAGAACCTAAAGAAATTGAATGAAAACAGAAATGAAAAATAAGAAAGTCTGTTAAAAATTCATACCTTATTTGAAACTTTATCCCATTCAACAACTCTAAAATAGTTTGATCTGTATTCACACATGACAACGGTACCCACTAAATTGATAACCATTCAATACATTTGAGATTTGTCAATGCTTGCTAAGCTAAATTAATAGCATTACATTCTCTTTTTTTCTGGTATTCTTTAGCCAGACGGAGGACACGAAGAGCCACGTTTAACAAGATTGAGTTTCTTGAGCAGAGAGAACAGTGAAGTTCTGTTGGCGTGTTGGGGGACCTCCCAGTACAGTTGTGTGGAGGTGACACTCAATGTCCCGTCGTGAATAGGAAAATGTTTATTTATTGTCATAAATCATGGGGAAAATCTAGACCAAATATAACTTGATTCATTAAAGATTAAACATGGGCCTGGTTATTGAACTGTTGTCAGATGTAACCGTAGAGACTTTTCATTTCTCTTCCCAGGCATGGCATTTGATTGAACAGACCATTCCTCTGAACCGGATGTTTCAAAATGCGGCAGTGACAGAATTTGCCTACAAAACAAAACGATGGATTCACAAGTCATCTTTTATCCAACCGTCGGGCCTGACTGATATTGCACGACCAAAATTGCCCATAAGCCGCTCATTCAATATGGAATCTACCAACTTTCTGTCATATTTTGCATGCACATACCGAGATGGAACAATTAAAATTGTTCATAGACAGAGTTACCAGGTGCCTATAAATGTATTTGTCTACAAAATTATACAAAGTTCATTTTATGCAGGGATTTGAAAGCTGATTTTAAGTTTCAAAACTATAAACTATATTTATAGCTTATCAACCATCTTTCCTTGCCATTCTCTATGTGTAATAACAGAATAAATCTTTGAAATCCTAATCTATGACATGTTCTTTTTGAGTAGTTCGTATCCTAATATCAGGGGGATGTTCTTCCCGATATCCCAGTTGTTCTTTGTGAATAATGTATAACTGGTGTATACTCTTGGCAGGTAATCTACACAGCTTCAATGGACCAGCTGATCAACTTAAAGACATTGGTACCCTCGGACCCATCCACTCTAGAGCCTCCAGATAAACAAGCTCGTCTGTCAGCCCCTCATCTTGTCTCTGTTGTTCAGACCAACACCGGGTGCGGGCTCGTTGGCCTGGGCGAAGGTCGTCTGTACCTGTTCCGTATGTTCAACTCCCGTGACGGCTCCTTGCAGATGATGCTGCCGTTCGTTGTGCTTATGCTGGAGTACACGATGTTCGTGGGTTTGGATGTGTGGGATGTCCTGCTGGCTGTCAGACAAGGTGAGTTTGTTGCCCTTGTCAATATGTCACAGATATTTTCATGTCTCTTGGGTCCATTCTTAAATTTCATCATTAAATTTTAAACCCCTCTAATCATTTTTTAGCCCTACTGGAAGTTTCGAACAGTCTTTAACTAAAGATAGGGTTACCAGAAATTTGTTTGAAAGAAATTTGGTCAACCCATTTTTTAAATTCACATGTTAAAATTTTTGTCAAATTTCTTTTTGAAAGCACTATACTTTATAGTTTTAAAAAACCATGCGTTCAAAAATAAATTTGACGCAAAATTTTAACGTGTGAACTGAAAAAAAGATTCGACCAAATTTCGGTTTAGTCTAATTTCCGTCGACGAAATTTCTTTTAAACAAATTTCCGGATACGAAAGGAAATATATGTCTTGGTTTAGTAATGGAAGTATGTTTAGTCTTGGTTTTCAGGTTATTTAATCAAAGGCAATGTTTACAACTAGTATTTGCTTGAATGTAGGAATGATTGAGGGCATTGTGGAAAGGCTGAGCTCCAACTTTCAGAAGCAGTCGGCAGCCTTCCAAGAGCTACTACAGCAGCGTCTTTTGCGCCTCAAGATGGCCCTCTACTCTTGCCTGGGTCCCGGCAACCAAAAGGCGGCAGACTGCAGGGCCATGATAACATTGCACTCCATCACCACTGTGCTCAAATCTTGTCTCCGTCCCAAATCTATCACAGCTCAGGATAAAGTAAGATTTTCTCATTGAGATGTGGGGGGGGTTTTTTCTTCTTTTTTTATATATCTAATATTTTTATGAGTCTTTCATTTATATACTGGTTAAGTTATATTGTGAAAATTTTCTTAATTTTTTTAAAAGTAAAGCAGCTTATGATTATTAACATGTATATTACAATTTGAGTCGTACAATATGTTTTATTTTAGGGCCTAGCTGAAAAATTGTCGACTTTGTGCTCAGTGTCAGTAGAGAAGGATCTGGATCAGATGACCAAAACTTTAGATGTTGATGAATTTATCTTGGACACATTCAAAAAGTCAGCCGTTGGCACTACAAAATCTTCTGAAAGTCAGTTTATTAAATATTACCATTAAAAAAACAAGCATTGCACATCACTACACCACCAGATGACAATCATAAATATTTTTTTCTTTTCCTCAGCTAATATTATTGCATATATTATTGCATATCTTATCAATAACCAGCCTCGTGAAACCATTAAAAAATAACATTGTTCAAATGAAATGTTTTGGAAGAAAACTGATTTGAAAGTCGTAATGAGACATGATGTAGCATAATTACAGAATGCATATCACATAACTAAAATGTCACAGTGTTACATTATGAAAGTATCATATTTTTCATAAAAAATAATCCACTCATTTTGTGCATCTGGGAAAACCCAAATGTTTTGAATGAAGTCGTAAAAGTTGACTGTTAAGATTTGAACACCTATTATTTTTTTAATTCTGTGATAATTATCTATTATTTCTTCAATAATGTCCAGCATCCCTTCAAGCATTGCAGCCTTTCATACAGTGGATTACAGATTTCATCCTTCATCTGCTGGCGGCTGTCTCAATGTATCCAACCTATCCAGCTTATCCAGGATCAACACTTTTGAAAAGTCCACAGGTGGGAAGCCACTTTTAAATCACTCTTCTCTATGCTCACTGCAGCTTTACGTGTATATTTTAAGTATAACTTGTAATGGCTCTGCAGTATATACACCACTACCCCCACCATCAAGTATACATTAAATAGATGACCCCCCTATCTCACTTAAGACACTGACAGCAGCAATCATTCCCACCATCAGGTATGCATTAAATAGATGACCCCCTTTTTTGACATTAGACACTGACAGCTGCAACCATTTGTATAGTAATTTCTTTCAAATACTTCCTATAGTTAAGTTTGAAATTGCAAGAATAAACAGTTCAGGAGACATTGCCAATTGATCACAACAAGAATAAACAGTTTAGGAAACATTGTCAATTGATCACAACAAGAATTAACAGTTTAGGAGACATTGCCAATTGATCACAACAAGAATAAAGGCTGAAAAAAATCATGTAATAACTTCACAAGAGATTTGTCCTGAAAATTTTCAGTTTTCCATTTACAACGTGTTACCACAGGTGTTGTGTACACTTCGAGAACTGCTCATCATCATACGAGTTTGGGGCAAGCTCAATCCAGCATGTTTGCCTGTCTTCATGACCACGGTGTCCATGGATCCACTCTCTTACCTGTTCCTTCTGGTCACCAGGGCATGGGTGACTATTAGGGAGGGAGTCAACATTGAAACGGATCAGTCATTTCTAGATGACTGCTGCAGTCTACCCAGTGAGGTAAGACATCATTCATGTTATGTGTGCACAGGTCAGGTAGTATCTCATAAATATCTCTCTCTACAAAGGAGTAGAAATTTTCAAATATGCATTTAGACAAGTGAAGGAAGAAAAATATCATAAATTTATCATTAACTCATTCCCGACGTTTGCGACTAAATGCATCCTTTACGGGTTTCGCCGGATGCCTCCAAATGTGTCCCGGCGCATAGTGACACACCTCTCTCTTATCTATTTAAAAATAGCAATGAAATCTCGAGACTTCCGGTGATGGCGTGGTTCAGCGTGATTTTAATTTAAAAACCGGAAGTTTTTATCTTGTTTCACTTTAAAACTATGGTGCTTTAGTACGGCGCGTCTATAAGTAGCATGTGTTCGTCCAAGGTGCCGAAAATCGATTTTTTGGTCATTGTTCGTTATTTTTTCCCCGCTAATGTTATATTTATATTAAACCTTATTCATTTTTTGTTGCATTTGTTCTTAAATTCGTTAACATTCAATAATATTTAGCAGCTTAAATAAATATTTTACAAATGTAAATCAATTCCAAGATGGAGTTACTTCCCTTTCTCAAGCAAATAAATTAAATACGGAAGTAGCATTGCAGGAGGGAATGACTTAAGTTAAAAATACAAAGCTAAAAAAAATCCCTTTACAAAATGTCCAAAGGTCCATTATGGCCATAGTTGCACATCACAAGTTCCAACATTTCTCGTGGACCCAGCTCTGGTTTCATAATGTTATATGATCATCCAAGTATCAATCCATTGGAAAACATGCCAATGATATGTTGCTGTATTTAGTTGATAGATTTTGCCGTCAACTAGAACTACCTTAAAAAAATGGTGACTTGCTTGATTTGTTTGGTATATTAACTGTAGATTTAAGAAATGACTGGCCCCTTTCATTTACAGTCAGTTACAATTAAAATTTATATGAATTTTGAAATATGCAATAACACTGTAAAATATATACATTTTTAATTTGATAGATTTTCATAAAGCAATTCTGTGTTGGGAATGGGCATTGTCTAAAGTGTTTAAAAATTATCATCACATTTCACATAAATTTAGAATTGTTAACCTGACTTCAATAGTCTCTTGTGTATCTCAAACAGATGTTGGTGCCAAATTACAAGAAAACTTATGGGGAAAAAATGAACTGTTATCTGGCGTTCTCACAACCGTTTCCCATAAACTACCAGTTTGGTGTCGAACCGGACTTCCTGTTCAGCCCACGCTACTCCAGTCGAATGTTTCCGTTGGACCTGTGCCTGGACGCTGATCAGAAATACGACTGTGTTCGACAAATTCAGCTGGGGGTCCACCCGCGGGAACCGCTGAGAGAATGCGTTCGATGTCATTCCCTGTCCTTGAAGAGGAAACCGTCGGCTACCAAGTCGTCCCTGCTCAGAGCTTGGGAACTCCGTTTTGTCAAAGCTTGTTTGTGCGGAGGTCACTGGAAGCTTCAGATGTTGCCACCGCTGGCCAGCTCTTTGGGACAGAAATAAATCTCCACAGGAGGAAATGAAAGTTCTCCTGCTGGACTTGCCAGCCAGAACAGTATGAGAGTTGCTTCTCTGATGTAAAATTTCTGTTGAATGTAAATGTATTTTGTAAATACATTATGTTGTTAATTATGTTAATGATAATTTTATATGAATAAATACTTATGTATGTACGACAGTCTCCATCTTGGGAACATGTTCACATATTAGAATGTTATTATAGTTATAGTTATAGAACAGAAGTATTACTCCATTGCTTATTTGTCTTGACCTGAAGTTCTAGCTTCATTCATTTAAATATAAATTAAGTCAACATTTAATGACTTTAACAATCGCTGATGAGTCTTTTCTAGTACATACAATTAATACCAGAGGTGTGGCACAATGCAGGTAACAGTGAACAAGAAAGTTTAAAAACTAAATCTAACTTACATTAAATTTGATGGTTATAAAACGAAGAGTCACTACATAAGTATGATTCATGGGTCCTATTTTATTGAACTCCTTGTCCACTTTTCAGTGCTCTCTCCCTATCTGTTAATCTTCGTGGTATTTGATGTGTGAGTTCTACCTATTTGTTAACCTTCATGCTTTTAGATGTGTGAGCTCTCCCTATTGGTTGATCTCCATGGTATTAGATGTGTGAGCTCTTCCTATTGGTTCATCTTCATGGTATTAGATGTGTGAGCTCTTCCTATTGGTTGATCTCCATGGTATTAGATGTGTGAGTTCTACCTATTTGTTGATCTCCATGGTATTATATGTCAGCTTTCCCTATTTGTCGATCTCCATGGTATAAGATGTGTCAGATCTTCCTATTTGTTGATCTCCATGGTGTTAGATGTGTCAGATCTTCTTATTGGCTGATCTTCATGGTATTAGATGTGTCAGCTCTTCCTAATTGTTGATCTCCATGGTATTAGATGTGTCAGCTCTTCCTAATTGTTGATCTCCATGGTATTAGATGTGTCAGATCTTCCTATTTGTTGATCTCCATGGTATTAAATGTCAGCTTTCCCTATTGGTTGATCTACATGGTATTAGATGTGTGAGTTCTCCCTATTGGTTGATCTCCATGGTATTAGATGGGTCAGCTCTCCCTATGGGTTGACCTTCATGGTATTAGATGTGTCAGCTCTTTCTAATTGTTGATCTCCATGGTATTAGATGTGTCAGCTCTTCCTAATTGTTGATCTCCATGGTATTAGATGTGTGAGCTTAGCCTATTTGTAGATCTCCGTGGTATTAGATGTGATAGCTCTATTTGTTGATGTCCATGGTATTAGAACTGTCTAATAGTGTCTAATGTCTGTAACCATTTATCTCAGGTTTTATTCTAAGCACCGTTCATATAAGTTTGGAAACAAATTTTTGCAGAAAAACAATTCTAGTTCTCACCGGTTTTGAACATCAATCAGCTAATCCTTACGCTGGGTCCGGTTTGAATAATACATTGTATTAATTGTATATTAATGTTTCTCAGCGTGGACCATTTGTCACCACCCCAGGGGACCATAGCTGGAGAACCACTGACATAAACTGTTGCATGGCATAATTGTATTCTTCTTGGTAGACTTATCTTTTAATAAATGAAAACAACAGTCATTTAAGTCCAACAATACAAATTTTTTTAACAAATTTAAAAAAAGAACTACAGCTGTAAACCAAATTCTTGGTCCTCTGTAAAATGATTTGTTCTACTTCTACGTATTATGATATCGTAATGAGAGACTGTGCTTAATGAGGACAAGCGTTGCAGCCCTTGTTTCGTGGGCTCGGAGACCATTGCTGACCATTGCCGTAAACCGTAAACTCAAGTAAACTGTAAACAATAGCCGCCAGACAGGAAGTAGAACGTGGAGTTTACATGGCAGCAGGTCTCTGAGATAAGAAATATATTTAAGGGTGGGGGGAGGGGGGGCGTGTAAGAAATGACACGTTCTTTTAAAAAGTAACCAAATTTCACTCATTTGGTCTTGTCCTACAACGTTGAATCTCAAGGCCTTAGGGGGCGTCCATTAATTAGTCAACAAAATAGGGGGGGGGGGATATTTGGAAATGTTTGAC